ACACACACACACACACACACACACACACACACACACACACACACACACACATAAAACAACGTTTCTAAAATATTCCTAACAACCCAATTGAGGGAATCCCCACCCCCACCCTGAAGAATGAAATATTTTCAGAATATTAAAAAGGCAGAATATTATATTTCCCTAAATGAGAAATAGAGAAACATGCTCTTAAAAGACAGAAACCAGACCCCACCTCCCTCCCCCCCAAGAAACAGGAGGCCACCTTTTAAAAATGCAGATTTGGTAATCCATTCAAGACAGGATTAAAACCCCAAGGAAGCCAGCATCTTGGATTAATTACATGTGTTAAGCAAGATTAAAAATGCAAGGAAGACAGCACTTTAGACCCATTGCTGGCCTTCGTGAGACAAACTAATTAAAACCAAATAACAAATATACAAAACAAGCCTCTAAATTACAAAATGCTGTAGAACAAACTGTATAAAAATCCATGTACTCAACAAAGCAATAGTTTCACTGACCCAGGACAGCTGGTGGTTCTGTTCATCATTAAACTATCTTTCCGATCAGTTAACATGGTGGTTAAGTGAATTTGGCTTCCCCATTGACTTTGCTTGGTAGAAGGTTGCAAATAATAATCACGTTACCTTGGGACACTGCAACCATCATAAATACATGCCAATTGCCAAGCATCCTAATTTTGATAACATGACTGGTGGGGGGGGGGATGCTGCAAAGGTCATAACTGAAAAACAGCCATAAGTCACTTTTTTCAGTGCAAGTGAACAGTCACTAAACGAACTGATGTAGGTTGACTATAAATCTTTAGAAATATTGCTAAATTTCCAGTCTGCTGTTGGATAGGACATCTTAACTACAAAGAGCTCAGGGTGGTTAGATTTCCGTTATATTTTAGATTGGGCTAAAAGTGATTTGGAAAATAAGTAGTTCAGCTCCTGCATGGGGCAGGCCATTGTTTCATTTATATGAATAGTTTATTTGGGGATAGCATTCCTTGCGACACAGTAATTATATTTTGTTAATGTGAGTGTAAGTTTATGTGTGATGAAAAAATCCAGCTAGAGCAAGCAGACACATGCAAATACAAAATAACTCTGTAAAGGGGATCAAATAGGGCAGTGCTAATTGATCAAAAATTGCTTCTAATTTTTGTTTCGTTTTGCCTATGCATGTTATTGGCCCTTAGTTCTCTCTGGGAATATAGAAGCCAAGTGGAAACTGCAAATTAAATTCTGTTAGTTTTACCCTGAAGAAACTGGCTCTATTTAATTTCAGGTACTAAGAACTAAAGAAGCAACAGAAACATCAGAGATTCTTGGATCTCTTGATTTTTTTGGAAAGAAAAGAAAAGAAAACGAACTCCATGAAGCTCAAACCAAAACATTAGAACTGTCTAATTTGCCCCTTGAAGAGGGAGCAGTACCACAGAAAACACAGGCTGCAAAGAAGAGAAAAGGAGATGGACAAAGTACCAAGGGGAGGGGAAAAAAGAAAAAAGGCCAAGGTAAGGAAGGGCTGGCTACTCAGTAACTTCAAAAAATATTAAATTATTTTTTATTTTCATTGAGTTGCATGAAAGCTGTAGTTGTTTCTTTGTGTCTTGATATTTTTTACGTTTATTACAGTTTTGATCTATGTGGCTTAGACTTTATTTTGTAAGAAAAGCAATAAGAGTTCTATTTTATACAGATGTATATGTAAAACTGGACCAGAATATATAGATTACATGTTTTCATTGAGTTAGAACAATCACCTAGGCTAAGGCATTCATCCCAAAATTGATCTTACACATGCATACCCATACCCATGTGGTATATCACATATCAAGTACTTAGGAAGTGAGGACTTGGCATTAAAAGGAAATAACAGCCAACAATTTAATAGCCAGCCATCAACACCCCAATCAACATCTAAAAAGTCACACACAACAGGCACCGTATTGAAAACACACACCGAATAGCCCAAAGCACACACTGCTAGGGAGAAGTTATCTCAGGATGGGCTCTAGCACGAATCTGAAAACTCGGAAGGCTAAACTTCTGGTCCTGGTGACTGACTCACATTGGATCCTATAAAATGGACAATGTGTATAAAATGAAATTCAGTTCCCATAACTTTTGAAACAACGTGCATTGTGGACCAATGTACTTAAAGGAGACCAGGTTGCAGAATCTAATATAAAATATCTTAAATAGTGGCCATTGCAGCAGATTAGTTTTATTCTTATTTGAGGTTTAGATCAGTGGTTCTCAACCTTTTCTTCCCTGGACCCCCTGTCATGCCCCTGGTGGAGACTGACTCTGAGGAAGAGGAGGAACAGCCAACAGGGAGTGGAAGGGTGGCTCCAGAGGTGGTGGAGGAGGCTGAGGGAAGGGCAGAGGCTAGCTGAGCAGTCAGAGGAGAACCCAGGCCCATCCCCTATCCATCCTAGGGCACACAGAGAGGAGAGGATCAGGGTAAAACGTGGTCTACTCGGGAGGAGAGGTCCATGATCCTCTTAATGGGTTGCAGGTGGGAGATTTGCATAAGAGTGTCAGCCTGCCTGCTAACAGAGGCTGGAGACAAGGGTTTTAGTTTGAAGGAAGGTTTATCTTGGTTGGTGTTCTTCCAACGGCAATTATTTATTCTAGTCTGTTGAGGAACTTGATTTACGGTTTGTTTTTGGTTTCTGCTTCGTTATCGGCTCTTTGGCTGTGAATTGTGTTTCTTGCCTTTGAAATGTTATTTTGAAGATAGTTTTACTTCTCCACTGTGAACAATTTAACAGTGAAGCCAAGTTGAAGGCATTAAAGGATTTTTAGTTATGGTTTGGATTTTGGTATATTTCTGATATACCCTGGGTCATCACTTTCCCTTTGAATACCTTTTTTTAAAAAAAATAAAAGTTTTTATTGATTTTAACGACAAACAAAAACACATAAAACATAAAACATAACATAAAAAAAATCATCATTCTTCATATATTTACAGACAGTGTATCGGTTGGTTTACCACTCCTTTTTGTGCATCCATTTCATAGTCATCATAATAATTTCCCTTTGAATACCTTTTGTGGCTATGGACCCCTAAGACTTAACTCAATATTTAAATCAGAACATTTCTTCAAGCCTTCATGGATGCTCTGTGACAACATCGTGGCCCTCCAGTAGTCCGCAGACCACTGGTTGAGAAGCACTGCTTTGATGATGTTCTTGTAACTTTCAGAAACAGTTGCTGTAATTCCTGGTACTGAAAATGATGGTATATTATGGATGTCCACTCTGGAGGCAAAACTTGACATTCCAAAAAGCAAGGGTAAAAAGGAACCCAAAACAAAGAAATTAAAACAAGTTAGACAAGAAAAGGTGAGTTGCTTCTCTTTTGGCATGTTCTCTAAAAATAAACAATCAGTGAATGAAGATATACTTGCTATTTTTTCAAAATAATATATTTTTTCAAAAATAATAATAAGGCATTCAGTTGAAGTGGAGATGAAGTTTTCATCTAAGTTATTGACATTTAATATGAAAATTACATTTAAATAAAATTTAATCTTTCTCTTACCTTTTCCCAGATAAATCATTTCAGAAATAAGCACAAAATCTACATTCAAGGCACAGATCTCCCAGACCCAATCGCTTCCTTTGAAGAACTTGGAAGAGAATATAAAATCCACTCTAAGATTATGCAGAATATTGAAGCTGCTGGATTCCAGATTCCTACACCAATTCAGATGCAAGCTATTCCCATCATGCTACATGTGTGTCCCACTTATATTCCCCTCTGAGAGAAAACGGTGATGTTGTTGCAGTGATATGCTTTAGGGCGCACTATGAAAGAGGAATTGTGCTCATGTGTGCCCACACACACATACTTACACAGGTAGTCCTTGACTTACAACCACAATTACGACCAGAATTTCCATTGCTAAGCAAGGTGGTTGTTAAATGATTCACCCCTGATTTTAAAACCCTTTTTTGTCATACTTGTTACGCAAATCAATGCAATTGTTAAACGAATTGCATAGGCTCTAAGTGAATCTGGTTGTGATGACTCAGGGTATGGCACAAAAGCAACAAAGTCATAAAAGCAGGAGAAAATGCTCTCCCAAGAACAGTTTTTAAAGGGAAGAAATTCAGTCCAAACCCAAAGTACGTATAAATTATAAGTAAAAACCAACACAAACCACACTGAAGTCATAAACTTGGCAGGCCAGGATGATAAATTGCAGAGTTCCACAAGATAACGCAGCTATCATAGTTGGGAGGACACCAAAACCCAGATAAGCCTCTATGAAGATAATGCATGCTTTGCTTCCAGCAAGGAGCTGTGTAAAATGCACCACGTATATCCTGTTCTCCCAGCTGCAACTAATGAAAGGGATCAGGGCCTTTTTCTCTCCCGTAAGCCATGTTGCTCCCTTCTTCATTCCTCCCTGCATGCCCTAGGATAAAGAGGGGGTGGCCCTGGGTCTTCCTCTGAATGCCCAGCTGGACTGTGCCCTTCCCCAGTTTCTTCCACAGCCACTGGAGCCACACTCCCACTCCCTGTCAGCTGCTCGACCTCCCCCTCAGAATCAGATTCCAAAAGGGGCATGACAAGTTTCACCCATTGATTTTGCTTGTGAAACACTGGCTGGGAAGGTCACAAATGGTGATTAGCTGATGCCAGGATGCTGCAACTGTTTTATATACCTGCCAGTTGCCAAGCACACGGATTTTAACCATGTGACAGTGGGGATGCTGAGACGGTCATAACTGTGAGATCATAAGTCACTTTTTTTCAATGCCATTGTGACTTTGAACAGTCACTCAACAAAGGGTTGTAAATTGAGGGTACCTGTACAGGCTCAAGTTACAACCATAACTGAGCCCCCAAATTATGTTGCTACTTGAAACATTTGTTAAGTGAGTTTTCCCCATTTTATGACTTCTTGCCACCATTGTTAAGTGAATCATTGCATTTGTTAAGGTGGCAATGTGGTTGCTAAGTGAATCTGGCTTCCCCATTGACTTTACTTGTCAGAAGGTCACAAAAGTAGATCACATGACCCTGGGACACTGCAATTGTCAAAAATAGGAGCCAGTTGCCAAGCTTCTGAATGTTGATCATGTGACCATGGGGTTCCTACAATGATTGTAAGTGTGAAAAACAGTCATTAGTCACTTTTTTCAGTGCCGTTGTAACTTTGAACGGTCACTAAATGTTGTAAGACAAGAGTTAGCTGTACAGTGCAGTAGCTGCCAGTTGTATCTTTCTAACAACTGGCACATCTATGGAGCTTTTACACAACTAATATTCTTGAGGATATCAAGAATATGGATGATCCCTTGTTTAGTGATGCTTTGATTTACTGGTCATTTTTTTCCTTCCAGAATGAGGCCTGCAACACAACTTCACTATAATAAATGCCTTGTTGTTGCCTTTCTAATGGAAGGATTGATGGGGGGCTACCACATAAGACTGATGTCAGGTTGATGGGCATAATTGTCGTGAGTGCTTGGTTCCCTGAGGGTGTTAGAAATGCCAGCCTGGAGAACTGAAATTCACCCACCTGCTATGACCCTTCCTTTGGCCACTTTTCATGCACCGTTTATATACTCTTTGTGTTCAAGCGGAGCCTTGTTCCTTTCCTTTTGCCTCCCAGGGTCGTGAGCTCCTGGCTTGTGCTCCCACTGGCTCAGGGAAGACGTTGGCATTCAGCATTCCCATTTTGACCCACCTCAAGCAGCCCATGAATAAAGGTTTCAGAGCTCTTGTGCTGTCGCCCACACGGGAACTTGCTAGTCAGGTAAGGTGACTTCCGTCTTCTAAATTTGGCTTAAAGATATGTTCAGATGGAACAAAAACTTTGATTTTGGATTTTACCAATTAAATATATTTTTTGTTGTTGTAGAAATGGCTAGTTTAAACTATTATGTAGAAGTAAAAAAGTTGAGGTTTGATGTCAATGCCTTATTCCACTGCACCGAAGGGAGTCCGAAGTCAATGCCTTTTCTTTCTTTTTTTCCATCTTCTTTCCCCCACTTTTCCCTTTTTCCTTCCCTATTTTTCCTGTTATTTACTTTGATATTTTTGCATGTGTGCTATATTATAAACTAATAAAAATGGTTATAAATGAAATGAAAAAAAAGATACGCTCAAATGGGCAGTAGGCTGTTTGAGCAAAGCACAGTAGGAACAGCAGGGTGATGAAGGTGTTAGTCTAGGACAGGAGTCTCCAAACTTAGCAACTTTAAGACTTGTGGATTCAACTCTCATGCTGGCTGAGGAATTCTGGGAGTTGAAGTCCACAAGTCTTAAAGTTGTAAGATTGGTGACCCCTGGTCTAAGAGCAGGAAGACAATTCATGGCTATTCTCAGGCGCAGAAGTTCCCTTAGATGTGGGTGGGTGGGGGGCAGCTTAGTCCAGTCATTCTCTCTTCATCCAGCCTACACCACAGGGTGGTTGTGAAGTGAAAATGGGAGGAGAGAGTGTTCTTCCAGTGTTCGCCCCTCAGTTAAAAACCTTCGGAGAATCTTCCCTTATCTGAGAAGGTACATAGTTTGTGGAAGTTGCTTTATTGTCTGTTGGTTGCTACTTGTCTTTTATTATTTGTTGCTCAAAGTCAGACCAGACTGCAGTCATTTCCAAGTACTTTTAGTGAAGTATAAATCTTAACAAATAATAAATACGTAAGTAAACATGCACCCATGTAAGATCTTGGTTTTATTTATTTAATGAATCGATCTGACTGCCCATCTGAACTGCATGACTCTGGACAGCTAACAGTAGAAACAGAATGAAAAACATAACTTTAAAAAACAACCATAGTTAAGGAACAACAGAAACAACACAAAATAATACAACAAGCAAGAACACCCCATTTAACTCAGACGTGGACAAGAAACGGACTTACCCATACTGTCAGGGCCCCAGGCTCGATAGCAAAGTAAGGTTTTTAATGCCTTGCAAAAGGCCAGCAGGGTTAAAATAAATCTCTGGGGAATGATGCCCCAAAGGGAAAATGTCAGAAATGGCTCCCCTCTTGGGCTCTGCCACACGGCACTTGTGCAGGTGAAACCTGGAGCATGCCTCTCCGGCTACATCCCACATGACGGGCATATATATCCCTGGGTAGTCCTCAACTTATGATCACAGTCGAACCCAGAATTTTGGTTATAAATTGTTAAGCAGGATCCCATGTGACCTGAGTCAATTTTAGGACTGTTTTTATGAAGGTCCTTAAGTGAGTCACGGCAATCATTAAATTAATCACGTGGTGGTTAAGCAAATCCAGCATATCCGATGGTTGTTTTTTGATGTTTTCTGACAGAAAGCAGCAAAAAAAAAACACCATCGCAAATCACAGTCATGTGCAGCACACTGCAACTAGTTGTAAATGCGAGCTACTTGCCAAGTGCCGGAAATGTGAAAATATGGCCTTAGGAGGGTGCAGCAATCATAACTTTGAGTACAGATCGTAAGTAGCTTTTAAAAAATTCCATTATTACTTAAAACAGCCAGTCATTAAGCGAGGACTACATGTACCTCCTCAGTGACTATCCTCCAGATAATAGCAAGAGCACTTAGACTTATATACCACTTCACAGTGCTTTACAGCCCTCTCTAAATGGTTTACAAAGTCAGCATATTGCCCCCAACAATCTGGGTCCTCATTTTACCCACCTCGGAAGGCTGAGTCAACCTTGAACCTGGTGATATTTGAACTGCCAAATTGCAGTCAGCAGAAGTAGCCTGCAGTACTGCACTCTACCCACTGCGCCACTGCAGCTCAGTAGTTAGAACAAGGGTCTTCAAACTTGGCAAGTTTAAGACTTGTGGACTTCAACATCCAGAATCCCTGAGCTAACATGATTGGAGGAGGAATTCTGGGAGTTGAAGCCCACAAGTCTTAAAGCCGTCAAATTTGAAGGCCCCTGAGTTAGAATGTAGCAAATAATGTTGCAAATCAAGAGTTGAAAACTAATTAAATAATCTTTACTCAATATCCCAATGAACTGAAAAAGGCTTCAGTTCCCTGTTATTCCATTATGATGGTCCCCCGGTATATTTATTTTCTGTGCTTAATTTTTCTGCTTCTGAAAATAATAGTGACTCTTCGGATATTTAAATCTATATTTCAGCTGTGTGTCTGATTCGTCTCCCTTTTAGACCCACAGAGAGCTACTTAAGTTGTCTGAGGGCATTGGCTTCAGGATACATTTGATTCACAAAGCTGCTGAAACAGCAAAGAAGTTCGGGCCAAAATCTTCTCAGAAATTTGGTAAGATAGAAATAAACAGGGGAAACAGGGATCCATATTCAATTCCCATCAACTTGCTTCTTCTGACTCTTCTTAACGGTTGCTTTTTCTACAGATATTTTGGTGACTACTCCAAACCGACTTATCTATCTGCTGAAACAAGACCCTCCAGCCATAGATCTGACCAGGTAAAAAGGAATAGAAACCCCCTCCTTTTTTTAATATACCCCTGTATTTGGTAGTATTCACTAAGAGATGGACCTGCAGAAATATTTAGTGCTGTTTGTAGATTTAATTTGGCCTAAATACGTTGATTCAAATCAATCCCATGCCAGTTAAAGTTTATATTGCATGTATAAAATAAACATGCATAAAAGTTGCATAATTTTTCTGGCCTGTGGCAGAAAAGCTCAGCAAGTAATAATATTTCAGGGTGGTGAAAAGTCTATAGAGTTTCTTAGTCATCCAGGCCATGGTTGTCCCAAAGGTGCTTTTTCAGGAGGCAACTGGACTTTCTGTTTTTTTTCTTTGAAGACATTTCACTTCTCATCCAAGAAGCTTCTTCAGCTCTGACTGGATGGTGGGGAATGGAAGGGTTTATACTCCTTGCAGACAGCTGGTCATTTGCATCCTTTTAGAGGATCGTTGAGGCCGCTTGGAGGTTTATCTATGTCCTTAGGATCACCTGAGTAGTGTTCCTCGTTCCTGTAGTCTACAATTCTTTCCTCTGGAAATCAAGTCCTATTCCCACCCTGTGGACACAGAAAAACCTCAAAATGCTTCAACGACCCTCTAAAAAGATGCAAATGACCTATTGTCTTCAAGGAATATAAATCCTTCTATTCCCCACTATCCTGTCAGAGCTGAAGAAACTTCTTGGATGTGTCTTCAAAAGAAAAAACAAGAAAGTCCAGTTGCCTCCTGAAAAAGCACTTCTGGGTTTCAGGGTGGTTATGAAGAAACGTGGGAGAAACAGTGTTAGTCACAGAGGAACTTATAAGAAAAGTTGAGTATATATTAGCAAATAATTAAATATCCATAACCTTTCATTCTGATATTTGCTCACCAGCCTTAATAAGGCCATGTGGAATGTGGCATTGAGCAGTGATCTGATTTTGCTGTCTATGTGAGACGCCACATATTAAACCTCCTAATTGCAGCCTTATCTTCTGCCCTAGAGTGGAATGGCTGGTAGTCGATGAGTCAGACAAATTGTTTGAAGATGGGAAAACAGGATTCCGAGACCAGCTGGCTACCATCTTCTTGGCCTGTTCCTCCCATGTTGTCAAGAGAGCCATGTTCAGTGCAACATTTGCACATGATGTGGAGCAGTGGTGTAAACTCAACCTTGACAATATCATATCTGTATCCATTGGAGCAAGGTGAGTGTGGGGACTAAAGGTTGTCTCTTCCCTGACTGAAAGTTGATTGCTCTAGCAGATAATTCGTTCTCCTTGCCTGATCTCTAGCTCATTCACTTCCTGAGCTCATTCACTTCCTGCTCTGGAATCAAATTCTTCCCACAGAGTTCCATTGTTCCTCTTCCTATTCTGGGCAGTTTCCATTGCTGTTCCTTGATCTGCTGAACAGACAAGCAGTTGAATAGAATAGAGTTCTTTATTGGCCAAGTGTGATTGGACACACAAGGAATTTGTCTTTGGTGCAAAGACAGATTCCTTGTGTGTCCAATCACACTTGGCCAATAAAGAATTCTTTTTGAGTTAAGTTAAAGAGGCTGCTTGGCTTTTTGACATACAAAGTCCTTTGGACTCAAATTTCATTTATCAGAGGGTTGTCTAGGCCAGGGGTCCTCAACCACTGGGCCACGGACTGGTACTGGTCCGTGGAGCACTCTGTACTGGGCCGCAAAGAAATTTTTTTTAAAAAAATGGCGGCTTTCTTCGCCTTCGGTGAATGCTGCTGGGATCAGGGATCAAGGACACAAATGAGAGAAGGGGAGGGAGGAAGCAACCGAAGCCTGTCCTGCTCTCTGGCTCAGCAGCTTCGGTTTCCTCCCGCCTCGTTCCTCTCTCAGTCGCTCTCTCGCTGCTCCACCAGCCCAGGAAGAAACTGCTTCAAAGAAGCTGGGGGGGGGGGCTTTTCCTGTGGCCGCAGCTCCTCCGAAGCGCCCATTTACCCCCACCCCGCCCGCCCGCGCGCGCTTCAATTCAATGCCCCGTTCTGCCTGCCTGCCTGCCTTCCTCGTTTCGGAGCAGCTTCGGCTGAGAATAATAACTATTTGTCTCTTTTTATCAGCTGAAGCTGCTCCGAAACGAAGAAGGCAGGCAGGCAGAACGGAGCACTGTGGATTGAACTGCGCACGGGCGGGCGGCGTGGGGGTAAACGGGTGCTTCGGAGGAGCTGTGGCGACAGGAAAAGC